GCACCTCACCGACAGCACCCAGCTCCCGGGAGGGATGGTGCCTGCACGGGGCTGTGGCACTGGGACCTCCAACGGAGAGGATGATGCTCAGCAGAAGCCCAGGGAGATTTTAAAGCTCAGCCCTTGTGCAGGACGCCCAGAGAAGGACTGCAGCATTAGACATCACGCTGCAGCCCACACCCCCAACGGGCAGACCCACCCACGTGTGGGTCTGTGCTTTGCATGAACGGCTTTGCTGCGGTTTGAGCCGTGCCTGGCTACGTGATATTATCGTTAGACATTTACCCACCCTTTGCATCAGAGGGTTCAGTTCCTCGAGTGCAGATCCCACACAAAATCCAGGTCACTTGGCTGCACCAGTGCTTTTGAGAAAACCTGTCCACAGTTAGCTGGCCGAGAACTGGAGGAGGTTTGCGTGGACAAGTCACCAACAAGACAAAAAGAGACAAATCCAGGACTTGCCGGGAATTATTTATTCAGCTCTGCTCTCAGCGGGGAATTATGGATGCGCCGGTTGTGCCACAGAGCACCTTCCTCCTCCCGTCTGCTTGGAAATGGGTTATTTAGTAACTGGTGAGGCCACCGGTGCTGAGTCAGCCCACAGCTAATGAACACCCTGGCTGCCCATTTGAAATTTATTGCACCTATTAATTACAACCATTAGCTGCAGCCAGTGAAATTTTTATAATGAGGACCCTTGCGACTTTGCCTTCCTAGCAGCAAATTAACTGTGTGGGGGGAAGAATCAATGGGATCAGCATACTTTACAGAAGCGATGTTTTAATTAGCGATTCTCTGCAAACATGCCAAGCAACAGCTTCTCTGTTCATTATCTCTCCTTAAAGGGATGGTGCTTCTTTTCAGGTTAGTTTTATCCCGGTCTCGTCTCCTCTGTTGTTGGGTTTCTAATGCAACTGCTGCTCATTATAGAAACTGCTTTGAAGTTGGTTTTATCTTAGGTCTGGTTGTAAGCAGTGAGATGTCCAAGGTTTGGGGCCGGGGGGGGGAAAGCAACCCTAAGAAATAATGGTTTTGAAAGCTTGGCTGGAAAATAGCTAAATTGGATGGATCCTGTGGCTGGAAGGAGGAGGAGGACAGGGAGTGTGGGAAAGGGGTTGTGTCCCTCAGGGACAGGCTGCCCGGGCAGAGAGCCCTGGGGCTGTGGGACCTGCACCTCTGGTGCTTAAAAAATATAGGACAGAAAGTGTGAAGCAAGGCTCCCTCCATGCAGGGAGCATCTGTATCACGCAGAGCTGCCTTGCTTCAGAAGAAAGTGTCTGCAAGTCCCGTGAGCAAAGCACTGCTACCCCATGCGCTTCTCTGGGGACTTTTCCGAGGGTGTCTGCTCATTGGATTTTGGAAAACCAGGCTGGTGATCCCCAAATCATCAGCCACTCCTGAAAAACTTGGCTGTAGGGGTGGACAGACTAGCTATCATGAAAGGCAAATGAAATGAAATTTCTGGGAACTTTTCTACATTTCATTACAAATCATTGAATTCTGTTTGGTTCCCTGCAAAAATATGGGACCAATTTCCATTGCAAATGATCTCATTTCCCAGGAAAAAAAAAAAAAAAAAAACCCGACACGCTGGCAGCAAAAGGCAGCTTTGAAATTCAGGGTTTAAAATGCAAAACTTAATGTTGTTTTTTCCAACCAAGCAGCTAAAAGTTAAATCAACGGCGCTTCTCAGAAATAGAAAAGCTGAGGCAGAGGGAGAAAATCAGCTGAAACGAAAGCTCCTGGTACCTGAGCACCCCTTCCCTGGGTCCGGCGGCCCCGGTGTCACCTGGCAGCCCCAGCCTGTCCCTGCAGCACGGCTGTGCCGAGCCCTGCCTGCACCCCTGCCTGCTCCCCTGCCTGCACCCCTGCCTGCACCCCTGCCTGCTCCCCTGCCTGCACCCCTGCCTACACCTCTCCCTGCACCCCTGCCTGCACCTCTCCCTGCTCCCCTGCCTGCACCCGTGCCTGCTCCCTGCCTGCACCCCTGCCTGCACCCCTCCCTGCTCCCCTGCCTGCACCTCTCCCTGCTCCCCTGCCTGCTCCCCTGCCTGCACCCCTGCCTGCACCCCTGCCTGCTCCCCTGCCTGCACCCCTGCCTACACCTCTCCCTGCACCCCTGCCTGCACCCCTGCCTGCACCTCTCCCTGCTCCCCTGCCTGCTCCCCTGCCTGCACCCGTGCCTGCTCCCCTGCCTGCACCCCTGCCTACACCTCTCCCTGCTCCCCTGCCTGCACCCCTGCCTGCACCTCTCCCTGCTCCCCTGCCTGCACCCGTGCCTGCTCCCCTCCCGGCTCCCCTGCCTGCACCCCTGCCTGCACCTCTCCCTGCACCCCTGCCTGCACCCTCCCTGCTCCCTGCCTGCACCCCTCCCTGCTCCCCTGCCTGCTCCCCTGCCTGCACCCCTCCCTGCTCCCCTGCCTGCACCCCTCCCTGCTCCCCTGCCTGCTCCCCTGCCTGCACCCCTGGCTCTCCCTGCCCAGGACCTGTCCTCCTGAAGCCGTCCCATGCCGGCTGCCGAGCTGCCCGCCTGCCCGGCGAAGCCCTGGGAAACGGGTAATTGCCGGGCTAAGGAATGGGCTCTGGCCGGCTGGTTCAGAAAGACATTTTTTTAGGGCTCAGGGAAAGTGGCATTATTAAAGCGAGCATGCTGATTTCAGACAGCTCCCAATTCATCACTCTGACAGTGACAAACACGGCCTGGGGTTATGCAGTTGACTAAAGAGAATTCTCTAGCTTTACATTTTTAATGCTCCTCGCATTTTCTCTGCTGCAGTGGAGTTTTATCCAAAGGATCTTCTCCCTTGAATAGAAAGGGCAGCATGGGTCTGTGAAGCATGCCCAGCCCTTGCAAATCAGGCAGGGCTTCTGTCATCACTGCCCAAGCCAGTTCATTTATTTTTTAATTATTCCTTGCTCCTTCAGGATCCTTTTTCTACCTTTTCAAGAAGAACAGGAGCGTCAGCCTCAGCTGGGCTGACTCTATTCTCCCGGGCTCATTCATCATTGTCTGTTCCCTGAATGGGAGGCAGAGGGTCAGCCTGAAAAGCCTCTGCGTTACAAGCTCCTCTAAATATATCAATAGGTCCCTAATGGACGCTGGGCTCCCAGCCGGACCGCCCAGGCTCTCGGGGCAGCTCTGTGTCTGCGAGGGGGGGACAGCCGAGACGGGCATGGGGGGGATGTGGGGTGGCATGGGGCAGCGGGGATGAGCACCCATGGGGACGGAGAGCTGCTCAGCCGAGGCTGCCTGGGAGGTCTGGTGCGGTGTTTGCCTGCTTAATGCGGAGAGTGTTAATCAACAGGGACCAGCGCTGGGTGGGAGCCCCGCACGGGTGAGGAAGGTGGTTGCCAAATCTGGGTTTGGCAGTGCCGGATCAGCCCCAGCGTGCCAAACCAGGGTGCCAGCTCCCAGAGGCTTCCCCCTCCCCGTTGCCCCTTCTCCGTTAAAGCTGTGCCAAGCCGGGAGGGCACAGGAGCTGGGAGGTGAGCGGCCCCCCCACCCCGGCCCCTCCGCACCAGCCATTCCCTCCAAAATCCCATTCTCAGGCCGGTAACAAAAAGCAGCAGCACAAAGAGAGACGCGGAGACCTGCCGCTATGCTGAGAAGCCATTCAGAACAGGAGACTCATTAAAGAGCCTGTTGTCATTATTTGTGAGCTCCAGAGGTAGCCTTATTTAATTTGGGAGCTACTAGACAGGTACCCAGATGGCTGGGGAGGGGGGAGCAGCGGCAGAAGTGAATTAAATGCGATGCCTCTCGCTGCTGCCGGCTGCTTTGTGCTGCAGCTGGGCCCCTTGGAAAGGGGGAAAGCGGGGAGGCAGGGAGGTGGCATCACCCCCCCCTGCAACATCACTGCTGATGAAGAGCATGTAGAGCTGGGGGGCCACGGGCCCCACCTGCTTCGGCTTTTTTCCCCGTGGTTAATTTTCTCCCAGCTCTCCTCACTGTGAATTAGGGCTGCTCCAAACTCTGGCATTGCGGGCTGGGGGAAATCAGCAGTGCCCAGCAGTCTGGGGGATTGGGGGGGGTGTCACTCATTGCTCATTACTGTCAGTGGCTGTGAGCCTCAGGAGGTGACAGTACCTCCTCCACTGAGATTTCCCTGGCAGCTTGAACATCGCGCCCATTTCACAGATGGGTAAACTGAGGCCCTGAGCTGTTCGCTGTCCGTGCTGGTGCTGACGGGGAACAAGCGCCGAGTCAAGGCTCTGCAGGGAGCCCCAGGCAGTGACCGTGTTGTGGGTGCTGTGGTCCCTCTGCTTGCTGCACGGCTGGACGATGGCACAGTCGTGGTGGTGAGGATGAGCCTTGCTGGGCAGCGCGGCGCTGCGTGGGGTGGGCACGGCTCGCTGTGAGCACCCGCACTGCCTTTTCTGGGGCAGAATTAGAGCTGGTCCTCTGCAAACCATACAAAAGCTAAAAATTAAAGCAGGGAGAAAATGAAGGTTTCATTTCAGATAGTATTTCTGTGAATATCTCTTATTTATTTAAAAAGAACCTCACAGCATTCATTTGCATAATTACATTTTGCAGCTGTTGGGCCATAATGTGGGCTGTGCTTTGGGGCATTATTTTATCCGTTGAAAACGGACACAAAGAGAGTGAACTCCGCTCTCAGCTGTGCCTCATTGTGCCGTAACCGCTGGTGCTGCCTCTGCGCCGGGGTGCTCCCAGGGCACCTCACCTCCTGGGCCCTCGAATATGCATTAGGCGCTGCAAGCTGTCCCCACGTCTGTCCCGATTGTTCACTGCTTGTGAGGAGAGGGGCTGGGGGGGGGAGTTTTAATCTCCTCGTCTTTGGCTGGGTGGGGAATCTGGGAATGCGAGGCTGGGGGCCTCGGATGAAGGGGAGGAGGGGGAAAGGAGATGTGTGCCAGTGCAGGGTGATGTTCCAGTTTTGTGATTTTGAGCATCTGTTCTACACCCTCCGTCCTGCCTGTGCATCCCCCATGTGTCTGCAGGAGCTGCCCTGACTCCTCTCCCTGTCCCCATCCAGGTCTCTCGGGGGTGCTCCCACACCTCTCCTACTCCAGGTGATGCCCCAATTCACCTTCGCTTGCTTCTGCGGGCTCCATGGCTTCTGCAAGATGAAGAGGAAGAAAGAAGAGTCCAGCGCAGAGCAGGAGACAGTGGTGTGAAGAGCAGACTCGTGCGTGTGCCCTGCCAAGCCGTGCCTCGGGACCCTGTCCCCTTCCCATCGGTATGCTGGGACTGCCGGGGGGACATTTGCTGCCTCCTTTCTTCTCACCTCTCCAAGGACCAGCTCCCTCCCAGGCATCATCCTCTTCCTGCACTGTCTCGGGGTGTCTGGGGGAGCTGGGGGGATCCTTGGCTGAGCTGATGTGCCTGGGATGGTGCTTGGCAGGGGAAGGGGAGCCCGGGGCTGAGCAACGGATTTGCTCATCGGGAGCAGCAGCCGGCCGGGGAGAGCACACACTTACCCTGCAGCTTCTCTCATTTTCTCTCCCCTCCCTCTTCCCAGATACTTGCATGGCCAGGGGAGAGACGAAGCTCAGGAATGACCTTGCCAACAGGCAGAAGCAGATGCTGTGGACGTTATCCAGGTGCTGCAGCCATTCTGCCCAGACACCCAGCCCGGTTGGGTGCTGAGCCCTCGGGACCCAAGCAGCCAGTATTGGAGGGACCCTCCATCCCAGCCAGGTAGATATTTCCCTCCTGAGGGAGCCAACCTGCCCTTGCTCCAAGTCTCAACAGACAGAGCCTGGAGGTGTTTTCAAAAGCCAGGGCCAGACCTTGTCCTTCCTGGAGTCATAGTGCCAGAGAGGCTGGCCGCTGGCTGGTAAGTTGTCCTGCTGCTGCAGAATTGGCTGAACGTAAAAAACAAGCTGGGTAGCTGGGTTTGGGTTTGTTTGGTGGTTGCTTTGTTGTTTTGTTTGGTTTTTTTTTTTGAAGTCTGTCTGAAGCAAATGTCTGTGACTCCAAGAAGCCATTCTCCATGCCTCTGCCCTGCCTGGTCCCGTGGCTGCAGCACACCAGAGCGTTTGGAGGCACCAGACACGCCGACCCTGCTTGGACACTGCTCCTTGTGTGACTGGTACAGACTGGGAGCCCCCACGCCACGGGTAGGGGAGACACCTCAGTGCGTGACACCCACCTGCTGCACACCTGAGCAATGAGGCTCAGGGGGAGCTTGTTCTTGTTTGGCAAATGGGCCAAAATCCCTGAGCTCGGGGCACCTGAGATCCACTCCAGGGACATTTCTAGCATAAACGTGTTATCCAGAGCAGAAATCCTTAAATTTTTCCATACTGCGCTTCCCTTCTCCTTATGGAGACCTCCTGAGCCTGGGGTCAGAAGCGATGCCTGGGGCTGTCGAGCAGGAGCTGCTTGTCCTTAGGTTTAGTCCTGCTCCTGCCACCACCTCCTTCCATGGTGGTCAAGTCTTGTGCCGTGTGGCTGTCCCCACGGTCCCCTTGTCTTCTCCACCCTGTCTGTGTGTCCTTCCCACCCACTTCTGAAGCCATACAGGAGCTCCCTGCATGCTGTGCCTTCCAGGAGGTGTCTCAGACAGACATTCCCACTCCGATACCCTCCAAATAGCCCCAGGCTCTGCACACTGGAGAGCTGGCATGTGGGGGTGAGCCAGTGTCCCCCGGGGGGTTTGGGGACTGCTGTTTGGGTCTCGGTGCCCAGTTCCCCATCCCTGAATGCAGCCAGCATTTGAGATTTCATTTCAGCCACCAGCAGCCGCAATGGGCCCAAGTGCTCCTGTTTGCAAGATGTGCTGGGGAGCGGCAGGGACAGCCTCCAGGAAAGGGTAAATGTTTGGGGGCAGCCATGCCCGCTGCCCGTCAGCACAGGGAGGGGTATTGACTTGAGCAGATTGACACCCCTGAGGAGGGATAAGCACACTCGGAGAACAAATCCTCCCCCTGTGATTAACTGGCTTGACCTTTCCAGGGTTTGCCCAGTGCTCCCAGACCAGATTTGCACTTGGCAAACAGAGCTGTATGTGCCACTGACAGCTCCCCTTCGGAGGAGATTTGTTGGCTCAGCCAACATCCCGAACCAACACAGCTATTATTTTATTTTCTTATCCAAAGGATTTAGCACAAAAACCTGAGCCTGGCCAGAAGCACCAATGACACGAGGTGTAGCTGAGGTGCTTTAAATCCTCTCTGCTGGGTGCCCATTGTCTGGCCTGCGGTGGGAAGCAGCTGACTGGTGTGGGATGTGCTGCTTGGAGCCAACTCAGGGGTGGCAGCCAGCGGGGACCAGGCATGGGGAACAGGCTGTGTGTGTGCATCAGACCCGGGGTCAGGAGGCTTGGGGCACTTTGCTTTTTTTTCCCCTCTTTCAGCCCAAGTGATGTGAGCTGGGGGGATCCAGCCGTGCAGCCCCTGGGCAGTGTTCCCCAGCCGGGTATTTCCCATTTGGGCTCCAGGTTTTGTCACTGGAGAGGGCACATGGTGACACGTGAGGTGCCCTGCGAGGGGCCAGCCGGGAGAGCGGTCTGGCTTCCCTGTCGTTTGTCACCATCGAGCTCAGCAGATTTCAGCCTGGCACATGCAGATCGGTGGAAAACGCTGTGGTTAGTGCCGGCTGTAATGTCTCCTCTGGGACCTCTGGGGCTGCATCAACCTTTTACTTAGGCAGCACAAGAGGAGCTGCTTCACTGAGGCAACAAGGGTGGCTGAGATTAATGCTGATGCACCCACATTTTGGCTTGGTTGATGGTGCCCCACTCCTGGGGGGACACAAGCTGGGTCCCTGCTCATGATGATCTGAGCAGGCAACACCCTTGTGAGCACAGTGTGAAGAGCTGGGGTTGTTCAGGCAGCAGGCACATGCTCCAGAGAGACCATCAAAAGCAGAGATTTGGGGTAAATCATAGGCAGCTCCGCTCAGTCAGGCTTTGCAGAAGCTAAAGTATTACTGTGGGGTTGAGGGGGGGTTGGCCCGGTTCATTAGTGCATAACCTTCGCTGCTAAACCTCTTGGACTGCAGATCCGTTGTGGGTTGGCAGTTAAAGATGTGCAGTCAACAGCCGCCCCGAGATTTCATGTCTAGGTGGAGGCTCAGCGTTGTGCTGAGAGCAGCTCTGGAGATGAGGTCGGCGTGTGATGGGATGGGGCTTCAGGGGCTCCCAGTTGTGGTGGGAGACCCCCCCTGGCTGGTCTGGGCTGAGCTGGGAGCTCTGCTGGAAACACGAGCCGTCCTCGCGTTGGGCATGCTGTGCACATGTTGCACATGATGCACCCACAGCGCACATGCTACGCACACGCTATGCACATGCTGTACACGGTGCACACGCGGTGCATGCACCGCACACGCCGTGTGCATGTGGCAGCTCTGTGCCTGTTTAGGTTTTCCCTGCGTCTCAAATATTCCTGCCTCCAGTGAGGGGTTCCCGAGCCAGATGTTTGATGAACGTAGCACGTACATCCGAGACAGGCAGACACTCACCCCCACCCATTATATGTGCATTTGAAAACACAATAAATGAAGCAAGTGCAGTATGAATGTTAAAGCGCTTGAGCTACAGCTATTTTTAAAGAGAACTTCCCACCTCCCTGGATGGATGTAGCTCTCAAAGCAACAATATGTTTTCCACCATGGCTCCAAGCAAAATGGTTTGCTCCTGGATTGACCTCTATTGTGTTCATAAATGGCTTGTGGTGCTTTTTGATTCCCCCATCATAATGACTTGACCTCTAGATTTACGGCTGAAGGTCCTTTCATCTGCACATTGTTTCCCACCAGACTCCAGCCTGGCGCTTTTCTGTAGCAAACCTGCCAAGAGCTGAGCCCCTCCGAGCCGCCCAGCCAGCTTCCACTGACAAATTTGCAGTGGGAAAAAGCAAACGGTTTTAGTTTGGATTTTTTTTTTTTTTCTCTTTTTCCAGTGGCCACATTTTAATAGGGCAGCATATGCTTCTGAGCCTGAGAAGGCTGGGCAGTTGACAGCTCTTGTCACAGTACAAACACTCTCTCCCTGTTTCTTTTTCTCTCTCCCCCATGTTTGCACAACCCTTGTTTTTCTTATAAACAGTTTGCTTATTGTTCCGGAATTCCTCTTACCCTCCCAAGTTCACACACTCAGCCTTTGACTCTTCCACTCCACTTTTGCTTTGCCACTCCAGCAGCAACTACACCTGAGCAATACCGTAGTAGATAAAACTTACTAATGTCATGGCAGTGAGCTATAAGCTGGAGTTGTCTGTCCAGTGGTTTCCAAGTGCTTTTCCGAGGCTTTTCCATCCTCTGGAGGGAGGAAGGAAGGCGCAGGAACCTCCCAGGGCTGAGCAGTGAGCCCGGAGCTGAGGCTGCAAAATCACCCATGTCCTGGCTGCTCATGGGCATCCTTGGGGTAAAGGGATGCAGTAAAGTGTATGAGATGCAACTTCCCCTTGTCCGTTACAGAGCTGGCTCAGCACACAGCCAGAATCTGTGCAAACCCCGTTACAACACGAGCCTTAACTGTACCATGGGTTCCCAGGGTTTTTGGAGAGAGCCTCCACCTCCATCCTTCCTCAGGAAGAGGAGAGCCGTGTTCCCGAAAGATGCATTTGTTCCCACCAGCAATAATCCTTCTTTAATCCTATTACACTAAGGAAAGCATCCAACTTCCCTGGAAGCGGATGGTGGGACGCAGGGAGGAAGGCGGTCCCTCTCACCACAAACTGCTCTGGCCAGGTCCCCGCTGGGGTTTTGGGGGGGGGGGAATGGCCCATGGCTTGGCCCCTTCCTGTGCACCCCCAGCTTTTCCTCCAGTGCCAAAGGGCTGGAGCAAAGCTGGCAGCGACACCCCGCCACCAGCCCTGGGGATGGAGAAGTGACATCGTCTGAAATGAGGAGCTGCCTGTACCAGGGGTTCAGGGTCTAGAGCTGGTGCTGGACTGTCAGATAAAAAACGGTTTTAATGATCAAAATAACCAAAGCATCGCCTCAGGCTCACTTCCAAGATAGGCAGTGTAGCCCCTTTGTAAATATTAGCTTACTTGGGAGCGAGGGAGCCTACAGATGTTTATTTGCATGACAATAACCGGGATGGGGATCAAAACGTGGGTGTGCGAGGGGTGCGGGGCGCAGCCTCCATCGGCAGACGGGCTGGTGCCGGAGGTGGTGCTGCCAGGAGAGCTTGTGCTGGGCTGGTTTGAGATGAAGAAATGTTTGTGCAGTCAGCTGGAAGGGTACGCGCACAAATGGTAGGAGGCGAGCCAAGGAAAAAAAAAAAAAAAAAAAAAAAAAAAAGCTGCAGCTTGAACTCCTGTCTTGCAACGAAAAAGGACCAGGGAATAACCCCAGCGATCCCAAGGCAGATGCTCTGCAGCAGGACAGACGGCTTCCACCCAAAGGTCCCGCGAGCACCAGCTTGACGTAGCGCACTGGATTTAAGACGACTGCGGTGCTTGCTACAGGCAGGGCAATTTCTGAATCTCGGGTGGTAACTAAGAGACAAACACCTTTTTTTGGTTGATTTGGTTTGGTTTGGTTTGGTTTGGTTTTTTGTTTGGTTGGTTTTGGTTTTGTTTGGTTGGTTGGTTGGTTGGTTTGGTTTTTTTTTTGGTTTTTGGTTGGTTTGGTTTTTTTTGTTTTGTTTTTTTTTTTTCAGAAATCACCTGGTCAAAGATGCCTTTTATCCCTCGCACAGGCAGAGTTTTAGAGTTTTCTTCCAGCTGCTCGATGTTCCCGTGCTGCCCTGCTGCCCTCCTGCTAGCCAGCACTGGGGGACTGTGTAGAGAAATCTCTCTGGCAGCCTGATAAAATCCACAATTCACAGTCAGGCTTGATCCTCCCAGCCCGTGCCTGCTCACCTCCCTGCGCATCTGTCTTCCCCTAGTTCAAAAACCAACCATTCTGCACCAAAACACCACATTTTTCAGAAGGTTATTCTGAGGACAAAGTACAGGCAGTTGCAGGCAGCTCCAGGTGGGCACGGGGAAGCACACGCTGTTTGGGGAAAAATGCTGACCTTGTTGTGTTCCTATTTTTGCACATCAGCACAGCCTCCCAAATTCAGGAATTACAGCCCCAGTGCTGTCCTTGGTGAGGACCTTTGGATTTATCTTTGGGCCAAAAAAAAAAAAAAAGTTGGTGAAATACAAAGTGTATTTCTTGAATGTAACTTTATATTTGCACAGTCTCCCTGTAAAGTGTGGTGATCACATGAGTGATGCACTCATGGACTTAAAGCACTAGGGATTAAACTCTGAAGTTTATTACAAGTGTAAAGATACAAGTCAATTTGACCTGTTTTATGCCAGTATAAATCCAGAGAGAGTCTGTATAGTGAGTTGTCTACAAAAATATGAATTATACAGAAATGAGCTTGGACTGGACTCCAACACTCAGATGTCTCCTAAATGTGTCCAGCCCCATCCCTGTGCAAAAAGCGAGTAAACAGCAAGCACAAGCGGGCAAAGACAGGCTTACAGTGGGCACTGACTCAACAAAGCTCTGCTTAAATTTCAGTGTTTGCTTTGGGATTTTGCTTGATCCAATAAATTTGCTGGATTCCCCCCTTATAAAGCTGGATCGATCCCTGCAGAAGTACGCAACGACCAAGCAGAGGGAGAGGCACAGGACTGTCCTTGCAGCATCTCCCCAATGCTGCCTAACGAGGATCAAAGCATCAAACCTCTTTTTATTGTCCTTTTCTTTTCTCCCACTGTCTGGATTTCATCACGAAGGGACCTACCCAGACATGTTCCTCAGGAGTCTCCCAGCCCCAGTAGCCATAGAAACCGGCTATTTTTAGTCTGTTTTCATGATGCCAGGTAAATGACTTTTTCTCTACTTTGGAGAGACAGAAGAGCAGGTCAGCCTTGCGTGCCGGCGGATGGTAAATGAGCGTCTCCAGCGAGGCAGGCGTCCTCTCCTGTACAGTACTGTACGTTTGAGAAAATAAATGTGGCATTTGTAAATAAGCGCACGTATCTACGCACAGAGCAGATTACTTCCTACTGTATTTCCTACACTAGGGAAAATATCTATAAGAATTTTTAGAGTATGGGTTTTATAGAAGTTTGGAGATCAGGGTTTTTGGTATATGACAAGCTTCCTCCTTTTCTGAGCTGGTTCTTCAAAAGACCCCATAATACCAATTACCAGTGTTTGGAAATGCGATCAATGCGGGTAAGAGCACAGTGGTACTTAAAGCATAAATCAGCCCCACAACAATGCCTTTCATTCCTGGGATATCAGACTCGCAGCCAAAGGCTTTTGAAGTCAGATGGAAAACCACATTTGTCTGAGTAATTATTGGGCTACATGCTAATGAGCAATGCTGGCTGGGTACCTCAGCACGAGGGAAAGGGGCTGGGGCAGAGCATCATTTTCCTAGACGGTTTTCTTAAAACACCCGTTGTCTCCCGGGACGTTCCCCTTCCTGGCAGCCCTGCAGCAGGACCTGGCCCACGAGGGCATCTCCCCAGTTCCTCCCTGCCCACTTTGGGGGTACTCGGCAAACCTGGGGGGTGCAGGAGCATCCCAGCCAGCGCCGCGTCCTCGGGGAGCACCCTGGGAAGGGATCAGCAAACCTCTGCCGAGCGGAGACGCTGGAGACCATTTCCTTTTAGCGCTTGCCAGGTATCCTGGAGCTGTAGATACATCGAGCCCGATGGCTTCTGCTGTAACATATCTAGTTTACAAGATTGTACTATAAATTATAGATGCATATCATGACTGCGGTTTGCACTGAGAGACTCTCCTATTGATCTGTCTCCTTCTGGTTAATATTCGGGACTGTCACAGCCCTGCTTTGGGAAGCAGTGTGCTGTAGAGGGTCATTTGTATGTCTCTCCGTCTGCACTTGGAGCAAGCACTTTCCTGGCCCGACTGCACGAGCACGCGGGGAAGCAGCTACAGCAGCTGCTGTAATAAACCGGCTTTACGATACCCCTCTGAGAAATGGGTTTAATTTTGTGTGTGCTGCTTGCGGCCCTGAGCCCGGGGGGGAGCAGAAGGGGAGGTGGGTTTTTGGCAGGACTGTGGTGGGAGATGGGCAGAGGTGGGGGGTGATGGCCTTCCCTGACCCCGCTCTCTTCCCACCGAGCCCTGAACGCAGCTGGACAGTCACACTGCAAAGTGTTTCGTTTACACACACACGGAGCGGGCCCTAAGCAGAAACTGCAGTACAATCCAGTGGTGGCAGCGCTAGTAATAGTCAATAGTGGGTTCGCAAGTTCCATGGATGTAAACAAAAGTGACAGTCCTAAGGGCAGTCGAGACTGTTTGAACTTTAGCAGATGCACATCATAATGGGGGATGGTCATGGGAGTGAGGCAGGAAAACCATATGGCAGTGGGACAGCAGCACACGCACGGCTCTGTGGCTGCCGGCTATAGGCAGCGCTGCAGCTGAGGACGGCCGCCCGGCCCAACTCAGCGCATGTCACGGAGCTGCAGCTCTCGGGGCTGGGCCCTTTAAATCTGGGGGTGCCGGGGCTGGGATAGACCATCTGGTGGGATGCGGGGGGGGGGGGTTCCTTCGCGGGGCTGGGGGGTGGCGCAGGTGGGCTCTGCTAGGTGGTGCGAGGCAACCCCTCCCCAGGCGGTGGTACAGCCCACAGGGGGGCGTGGCTAACAGAGGCAGGCGGGCAGCTTGAAAGCCGTGAGGCGGCCGGGTGTGAGGCGCTGCGGCTCGCTCCGCCGTCACCGGGACTGGGGGGGGGGGGAAGCCCCGGGGCGGGCACCGAGCGCCGGGGCGGGCACCGAGCCCCGGGGCGGGCACCGCCGAGGCTGCGCGGAGGGCCCCGTCGGGACGCGCATGCGCGGGGCGGTGCGCAGGCTCTTGGAGGCAGGCCGGGGCTGGCGCTGCCGAGACCTCGTGGCGCAACGGTAGCGCGTCTGACTCCAGATCAGAAGGCTGCGTGTTCGAATCACGTCGGGGTCACGGCTCCCTCCGGGGTTCCCTTTTTACGGGGCCGGGCCCCCCGGGGGGCACCGCGCCGGGAAGCTGCGGGGGGCGGCAGGCTGGGGGGCGAGGGGAGTCGAGCTCCGGCAGTACGTCCCCACCTGTAATTTTTGACCTGGGTGGGCGTGGGGGTGCCCCAGGGCCCATCACCCATCACCCTGCTTCAAACTGAGGGGGTGCCCCAGCCGGGGAGGGAGAGGGAGCGGCTGCCGGAGGGTTTGGGGGTGCCGTGGGCGTGGGGTTCCCCCAGTGACCTCCCGCGCTGCAGCTCGGAGCTGAGTGGGTTGCAAAC